GGGGCATAAAAAATATGGCATTTACCCACCCAAAAATAATTAACTAAATAGAAAATTTATGAAAAAGTTTATCCTGTTTTAATAGGAGGTCATGTAAAAATGATTCAGCTTGGGAAGGGGTCATACATTTTTTTGCTTACAACTCATAAAATCCCACCAGCCCCCCATGCCCATAAAAAAATAAACAGTCCCTAAATGAGGAGACTATGCATGGATGATGATGAAGATGGATGATGTTAATTGTTATTGATATTTTTGTTTATTATGATATATAGTGGGATGAATGGTGGTGATGATGGGTGTTAATGATACTGTATTAATGTCCATGATCATGATAATAATGGTGATGAAGAGTGTTGTAGGGATGGAAATAATATGTTGCAGATAATGATTATACTGTTTTATTAGTGATGATAATAAAATGACTTTCATCGGTATATTTTCTTGAATGTATATCTACATGGCATATTTTACAGCAATGACACTTCAGTCATGAATACTCCAAGTTTTTTTCAGATTATTATTTCCTGATTTTTCTACAGTTTCAAACCTTGCAAAAAAAGCAGCATTGAGTTCAAATATACTGGATGATCAAATTAAATCTTATTTCCAATCAATTGACTCAAGGGATGATTTACAGTATTCACAACTCAATATAAAGTGCCTTTGATTATATCCATATAGAAAGGGCTCTATAATAAATCATAAATCATTATCATTATCACAGTATGCATAATTTTTTTAAAAAGTGTTCAAGGTTTGAGTGTGCTTACTGTAAGAAGTTTTCTTTACACAGTGTAGTTGCCACAAATATTTTAAAGTTAAAAATGATACATTTCTTCTTTCCCTCTAGGTGGCTGTGTTACTGCCATGTACCTGTCTTCTGCGACAGCCTCCCTAAACATGACACAACAACAGTGTTTGGCAGAACCTTACTCCGATCTGTCTTCTCTGTCATGAGAAGGCAGCTGCTTGACAAATTTCGAGCAGAGAAAGACAAGATGCCAGCAGATAAAAGAACCATTGTCCTTACTCATTTTCCAAGGTAAAATCCTTCGCGTAAACTTAGCCTGGGTAGTGACGAGGGGAAGGGAGGGGAGGAGGAAGGAGACAATCTCGTACCCAGAGCCCACGTTCCTCTTGGTCAGTACCGAGAAACGAGAGGCTCTGGTTGTAACTGACTTTTTGAGCATTCCTATTGGTCCGGGAGAAAACAATAGAAAGAGTCGTTCCGGAAATAAAATGTCTAACAGACTCGAAAATATCAAGAAATAAGTGGATTTTTCAAGCACTAAATTAGCTTGGATCGAACTCAAAATTTGCTAGAATCAATCTTTCGCATATCCGAAGTAGATGAGAAGGAGACTGGAATTTAAGCAAATTTTCACGAGGATTAATGCGATTCGAGTTGGCGGCCGATCGCTCTTGCATTTGTCGTGAACTCAAAAAAAACGTTAAAAACTCACAAAATAGCACAAGCAATTAGTACCCGGGGAAAAAATTTACTAAATAAACTTTAAGAAGGCAAAGGATAAATAATGTAACTACTATATTCAAGCTAAAAAGGTCAAAAATGTATTACCGTTTGTTCAAAACAATTTGAATCCTTGAACATCAGGTAACCCAAACATCAGCTTACCTGTGATTAAGGCATGCGCAGTTGAAACTTCCGGTCTGAAATTCACGGAACGGAACCCAACTGAAAATCGGTTACAACCAGAGCCTCTCGTTTCTCGGTACTGACCAAGAGGAACGTGGGCTCTGGGTACGAGATTGGGAAGGAGAGGGAGAAAGGGAGTGGGACTGGGGAGGAGGGAAGAGAAGCCCAAGCTACCAGTTTTTTTTTCTCTATCATTGTTTTCAAGAAGGTTGTTAGCCCATACATTTCACTATGTTTTGATTAAAACGCATGTTTTTACATAATGGCAGTAATGAAATGAAACCTTTCTTTATCAAGGGTAATCCCTTCAATAACCCTAGGAACACTGTTAAATCAATGGGAGCCAATTTTGCAATATTGTACAGGAAATTCATGTTGACATGAAATGACTTCTCCACCTTCCCCTCCCGGATCCTCATAGCAAGGAATTAAGAAAGAAGAGAAAAGGCACACTCAAATAAGTAAGCCAGTTCGGAGTTTAAGAATCGTCATGCGATTTTATCCCTTCTTTCTCACCTTCTTTTGTTTAATTAAGAATAAAAGTAGGATCAAACAAAAGAAGGTGAGAAATTAGGAATAAATTCGCATGCGCACTGAAAACGATTTTTAAACTCTGCACTGGCTTATTGAACTTGAGGTAGGGGCCAGTCAGGGCATTTGTCACCAACAGTTTTGTTTTTCATATTTAATGCAGATTCTTGTCGATGCTTGAGGAGGAAGTCTATGGAGAGAATTCACCAATCTGGGACGATGACTTTGCTGTTCCCCAGTCAATATCAATCAACTCTTCCCGATCACTCTCACCACTGGTTTCTTTCACCTCACTCACTGATTCCTCGACATCCACCAGGTATGAATTCAAATTCATGAAAGTCCTTCAGTCCTACAGCGCAGCAATTGAGGGATTCCCGCAGGATGGAGCAGGTTTTGCCCACATTATTTGAGGGATTCCCGCAGGATGAAGCAGGTTTTGTTCACAGTAGTTGAGGGATTCCCGCAGGATGGAGCAGGTTTTGCTCCCATTAGTTGAGGGATTCTCACAAGATCTCGAACCACGATACAGCTACAGATATACATACCATCACAGGAGAGAAAATATATTCTCAACCTACTGACGAATTCTCCTCCATACAGTTTATGGAATCCTCATTAGTTGAGGGATTTCTTTGTGAACACAATTGGTACAGCTACAGATATACCTACAAGAACGATAATGCATTATGCAGCACTCAGACTAATTATCTTACATGAACCAGGCCCCCCCCTCCCCCTATTGCATTTTCCAGGGATTCCTGCAGGATCTCCAATAACAATACTACAAATTGCCATGTGCATAGATCTCTTAGACAAGTACAAAGCACGAAGAACAGAGTTTATAGCATTCATCTTGTTGACATTACTGCTACTTTCAATCTTCTGTGAACTCAGACATTTTAACGGCTTTTCGTAAAAAAAAATTTTTAATGCCGCTAGTCAAAAACATAAAAGGTACTGACTGACTAATTTTGATTGACGGCAGCAAAGAAAAAACAAATTCCAACATGCAGCTCGAACTACTGAGTTTGCCGAGAATATCGAAAACCGCAGTAAAATGATTGATTTAAAAAAATTATCTACCTCCAGTTTCGTTGTGATACACAAGATAATCGTTTTTCCCCCATTGTGTTGCAGTGGTTTAGGTACGACTTCATCCACCACGTCTTCTCCTATTCTTAATTTATCAACTTCGAGTTCTCCAACAATTGAAGGTAATAGGTTGCTATCAATGACGTCACTTCCGGCAATAGCTTCGTTATTAATGGCTTGTAGAATCTTGGAGGTTGATTTGATCTCTTGTTTTCTGGTTTCATGTCGTAGAAATAGTCAAATACAATAAATTGAGGACTTATTTTGACATGTTTTGACTTAACATCCGCTAGTTGCCCCTCAGTCAACCGCTTGTTTGCCCCCCAGTCAACCCCAAAGAGTCACGTGATTGATAATAAGCAAAAGAGTTGTATTGTATTTAAGTGGCACTCCCGCTAAGAGCGGTCCGGTGAATTTGGGTTCGCAAAATCGATTCTCTTTATTTTTTGTGAGTGAAAAGCCTTTGGTATACATAAACTAAAAATAAAGTTTTTTTTTTGAAATTATATTTTTGGGCTTCGTTACACGCCAAAACATATTTTGCCCGTGTCTGGCTATTTGGAGAGCTCACTCGATGGTTGCATTTGGGTAAAATTAAGAGAGCTGCCGACTCAAAACTATTATGTATTTCCAAATTTTAGCTACACTGTTAACTTCAGATACTTTTCATCTACTCTTCAAAGAAGATTGAAAGTATTTGGTTGAAACATAAATTTATTGGACTGCCTAAAGCACATCCCTGTTTCGAGCTTTCATCGAGGCGTCAAAAATACACTAAAAATATGATGATGTAAAATTTCGAAAAGGGGACCTCAAACTGAGCTAAATTATACTTGGCTTTCAAAATATACTCTTATTTTTACAGGATCAGAAGTGAAACCTGCGGGTATCGAGCKGGTTTTGTCGCGAGCGAAAATTTATCGAAGTCCGTGATCGACAAAATTTGCATATTTCTAACAAATTACGCTGTCGAATTTACATGCGCTTAAAACGATATACGGTAATTCTGGCTAGAAATGTGCCTTAAAATCAGATAACAAATGTCTGAGCTAGTGAAAAATGAAAAGTAAAAAGAGTCTTATCGAAAAATATCATTGTATTTTCTTGAATTTTGCTTACTATTAGACTGTGTTTGCGCGGTGCTTAATAAGAGTTTGAATGTCACGCAACGCACTGGCACATCCGGCGACAATACATAGATTCTGCCTTGTTTTTTTGTGTGTTTTTTTTTTGCTAATATGGTCGTAAACTTCAAAAAAAGAATTCAAAACATCGGCTTAGTTTTATCAAAGTATGGACTAGTTTATTTATCACCTTACGAGTGCGTGACAAGAGAAAGGGGAGGGAAATGACCCTCAAGTTTTCCTCCCTCCGCCAAAATCAACTTCGAAATTCCAATATCATCATGAAACACGGGCCATAGGTWWTTTATTCTTTTTAGGCACTGACTATAAGTGTACCCTGCGTGAATCCCAAAGTAACTGTGCGAGAGAAAAGTCCTGCTGCATGAAGGCTACCCTCGTGAAACAAGGACAGTATCGTAGGGCTCCATGGGAATCGCCCAATAAAATTAAAAACTTAAAAAAATTATCCTGTTGAAGTGCAACGAAACCTGTCTTACAGTGAGATAGCTTTGAAATTAGGGGTTGATCATTATCTTTCACAATAGTTACAATTATCATAAATATTCAAAAAACATGTGATCACCATAAATCATCCTACCCCCTCCCCGACAGCGATAAATAATGGCCGCTTAACGTTTATTACTTCATCTTGAACAGCTGCAATCCTTCGCCATGTCACTAATTTTGGTAAGCAGAGTAGCTTTCGTATCTCTGGACTTGTAAGCCAGCTCAAAATGTTCACAGATACTTTTCAAAGTTTTAACGTTGAATTTTGATAACGAGTTTGATTTGACGTAAGCACAAATGTCGTAACCGTCATAGGTAACAGGGTGTTCCACGCCCAGCTGACTCAGCACATCTTTCATTTGTTCATCTCGAATTTCCTCTTCTTGGTATTCTAGCTCCTCTTCCAGCAAATCATCGTCACTGTCTTCTTGCATCGCTTGCTGCTTCCTTCTTGATGCAGATAACCGAGAAAAGAAGGACTTTACTTGCACCTTGGTTAGCCATTCTTCTCTGGTAAACTTTCTTAATCCGTCATCGTTTCTGACTTTTCTCATTTCTTTTGAGACTTCGRCGGGATCGGCTTTTCTTCCTGTAACACCTGCATCAAACTTTGCTGTTAGATACGCTTTTACTTTATCAGAGAACTTCTKACTACTCCTGGGCTTTTGCAAAGCCCACCCAACTTTCTCCAAGGAACTATCATCGGACATAAYAGTTTCGTTGAAGGCTTGCTTTTTCTCAACTTTGTCGGATAGAGTTGAAAACTTGAGCGCCCACTCCCTGCGTAGCTGGTCATRTAAATTTTCCTGTTTTTTTACGGCCGTGGTATTATGCKGTCCAAAGTTCATGTGGTCTTGCAGCTCATCCCAAGTCGTGAAAGATAAGGAGCAACAGGGCTCTTTACATTCAAGTAAGATCTCTTCGTCTGTGTCGCTGGTAGGTATATCCTGCGACCGTTTCATCAGCCTCGGTTCCATTCTAAAAAACCCTTGATCTCCCACTACGCTTAGTGTAACGTCAGACTGATACTGTACGTTTAACTCTGACCATGTAACAACTTTCCCTGAGCCTATGCCGTACGCCTTGGACATGCAAAGGTCTTTCTTGTCATATGAGAAGTTGTGGAATGCGCTAAAGTTGTTGATTCGGTTGACCTTAATTTCCTGCGGGGCGATATCTCCGAGGTCGCATACAGCTGCTGTTGTTCCCTTGACCGGTCTCGCTMTTAGGGCTTCATACATATCTGACGATGACATGATGTCATGACCCTCATCGCAGTATCTTCTCATCGCACCTTTCAGGGGGCTGATTATCCTATCACATATATCTTTTCCGTACTGTGGTTCGGAAAAGTCGTACCTATAAATACATAAAAGAAAAAATAAGAAAAACTATTCAAAATGTAGAAGTTCTCAGTTTCTTTATACCAAAAATGCACTAATCCATTTATGCAGCGCAGTTACTCAAAAACTTAGGTCTTTTAACATTTAAATTGATTGTATACTGTTTTTCCAAAAGCGTGTGAGAAAAGTCAGATGTATTATAAAATCGATAAGAAATCCTCCTTAGCTTTCTAGCTGATATCTTATTAACTAGTTTTACGCATTTGCAAGAAATAGAAAAAAATAGTTTGTCATGTATTTGTTAATGAGAATGTAATCACTTACGAAACGAGTACCATGCATATTATGCCGCAAAAAAAAAAAAAGTTCGGTCTAAACACGTTTTTGTTTTGTCTACCTTATTATTTGTATTCCAGTATTCTTGACAAGGTCCTTTAAAGCAGCAACCAAATTGTTATTATGGTAGCAGCCAGCACCATCTGATCGTAAGTAGGCCTTGTTGATATGCGGCTGAGTTTGTTTCGATGTATTTAGAAGGTGAGTTAGAATTGCGCTAACAGTGTAGCAGTCCTGAGAACAGTTGTCCAGAAGGTGTACATAGGAGGCAATCTGCAGGTCATTAGTGGTACTGGATTTGGAGACGACGCAACTCACATGCCAACTCATTCCGCGTTTGCCGTACCACTCGCACTGTTTCTCTCGATACTTCATTTGGGTGAATTTCATAGCCCAGTCCATCAAGATGAAGACAGCGTCCTGTGGTAACGATTTCAACACATCTTCCTTGGCCACATCTTGGTTCTCCGCTCTCAATATATGTGCCTTCCACTGTAGAATCATATCTCGTGCTTGACGGGCATCATGTAGAAGGTCTTGTTGCTGCTCTTCACTGTAAAAATCCAATTCCGATGATTGAATTTGCGTCAAAATGGAAAGCAATGTAGTCTTCAAAGCTTCGCAACTGTCGCAAGTCACACAGTGTTCATGATCGCACGACTTCTTTAACTCCGAGCATTTGATGTCACTGAGGGCATGTTGTCGGCAGTGGTCAGCGCAAGAGCTCGTGTCTTCCCTACAGTGTGCTCTGTATTCCGTCTTAAGATAACGCTTTCCTGACTTTAGGTTCTTTCGGACGTTATCGCACCAGTCGTGCTTTGCGCCGATATTCTCCAATATTTCAATGACTTTGTGCATCGTCTCAAAACTATCAGCACCACTAGTGGCGATGTTGTCTAGGCCTTGGAGAGACTTTCTTTGTGAGGCTTCGCGAACTTTCAATATTCTGTACAGCGTGGAGGTTCCCAGAGGTTGAAATTCTTCCTCTATGCACTGTTTGAGATAAAGCTCAATCATAGTTGATCTGCCTACTCTTCGCACGACATTCGGCATCACCAGCTGCTCACCAGATTCTAGTTTAAGCTTTCTTATGCCATACGCCACATCCTGATAGAAATAGGGCTGGTCTATATATGACAGAAAGTGGCTGAGCTTCGTTACATCGATTCGTACTCTGTGGAAGGTCTTTTTCTCAACTGCCATGCCAACACCAACAGCTTTTGCATGTGCTCTGGCCTTCTTAATCTGACGATCACTCAGTTTCTCGAATGAAGAGTGAATGTTCTTCAGGTCATCAGATGAATATTTGGATGCGTAA